CCTCCACTACGCGGCTCTAGCTGCTTTCTTTGAGGGAGACGACCAGAAAGGGCTGGCGAATGGTTGGGTGTTTCTCCACAGGGCACCGACCGCAAGGAAGACTTTGCAGGCCTTACGAATGGCGCTGTTCGTCGAGAAGCTCAACCAAATTCACTATTTCCTCAATCCTGGGTTGGACAACTTGTTGGGCGAAGTTCGTGAGCTTCGTAGGTTGGTGGCACGACTGCTCTCTGTCGACGAAGTGAGGTTACACTTCTTAACGTTTGACTACTGGTTGGAGGACAACCCCCCACTTACCAGCGAGGAGAGGCCTACGTTAGATGTGGACATATGGAGGAAAGAGTTTGGCAGCATGCTGGACCAATTTCTGGTGAAGGGGTGCAAGGAGTTGCACATCACAGGTGGTTCCCGAATCAGGACGATATACACATACCCACGAGAAACGATGAAGCCAGTCATACCGCCTACCGACGTCGAGCAACTGCGTTCTAAGCTTGCTAGCTCTTTCCAACTATTGAAAGCAAGGGAAGCAAAGCTGGCTTCCCGAACTTTCTTTGGGGCGTTGAGGCGCAAGTTCACTTCCGTATTCTCCAATGCAGTGCCTGCGAAGACGCCTCTGCAGGCTACAATACCACTGGAAGAATCCGCGAAGCCGCCTCCCCCCGTCACCGGTGTCCCCCAACCGATATCGAGCGACCCAGGTGTCAAGTCTTCTCTCCATAAATTCTACGTGCACTGCGAAATGCTGCTACAACCCCCGTTCCTAGAGTGGACTCTGTCCACGCTCCAGCTCAACGGAGAATGCATCACCACCCTCTCCTTCAAAGGCATCGACATTCCATGGGAGACTTGGTCCGATTTCTTCGCAGCCCTCACCTTCCCCTCCTTATCCGAGTTCGAAATCACATCCCGCCGCTTTAAGCGACCACAAGGGCCCGACTTTTCTTGTATCGAATCCTTCCTTGTCCGCCATCCCTCAATCACCGTTCTCCACCTTGACGGCCTCCTCACCCTGTCCACCTTCCCGCCTGCACAAGAAAGCATCCTTCCGAACGTGGTCAAGCTCACCGCACATCCTGCATACATCAGCTGGCTTCTCAGCCCACCCAATTCATTGCCTTCCTTAGGCTCTATAACAATTTCCTCAGAATATTCTCTTAGACCGTACTTCGACTATGCCCATTTCAACGATGCACTCGTCTCAATAGCTCGGAACGCCGGGCAAGTTGAGCTTGGTATCCAGTTCAGGTCCGAGAAGGGGATGGATGCTTGGTTGCAGGACCACGTCGACATTGGGTGCGAAGTAAGCGCCGTCTCTCAGTTGACTAAGATCAAGAACCTGGCGATCTATTCGTCTTGGTGCGGTGATTTTTCAAAGCGTACGTTGAAGATTTTGCCAGAGTTTCTGGCACTCTTTCCTAGTCTTGAACATGTCGGGTTTATGGAGCAACCAAGGGGAAACGAGGAGGTTATGTTGGCTGGTGGTTTTGTCAAGGCGATCACGTTGAGGTGCCCCCATATTAAAAGTGTTCTGATAAATAGGCAGTGGTCTTTTCAGGGGTTGCGTGAGTGAGGGGAAAGGAGTGATTGAT